TGCACACATGTGGAGCTCAAGAAAGAAATGGCTGAAGGAGCCAGGGTGGGCGGGGTCTTCAGGATGGGCTGCAGGTAGGAGGGGCCTCATGGCTCCAGCGTTCGCTTTAGAACCTTCCCTGCCTCCCACTGAGTGACCCCCGTGGAGGTCCCTCTATTCTGCTGCTTACTGACCTCCCCAAGCCTCAGTTTCCCAACTGAGAAACCAAGTTCCACCTGCTTGGCCCTCCACCTGCAAGACTAGGTGCCCTACCGGTGCGGCTCAGTGGTTGAACGTCGACCTATGACCCAGAAGGTCATGGTTTGATTCCCGGTCAGGGCACATGCCTGAGTTGCAGGCTTGATTCCCAGGGGAGGGCGTGCTGTGGTTCTCTCTCATCATTGATGTTTCTGTCTCTCTCTTCCTCTCCCTTTCTGTCTGAACTCAATAAAAATACATATTTTTTAAAAAGGCCTCCCCCACCCCATGCCCTGTGCTGGGCTCTGAGCTCCTCCCTGCAGACAGGCCCAACTCGCTCCCCTCCCCCAGCCCAGGGCCCCAGCCTGAGCCTCCCCCTCCCTGCCCTCCTGTCACTCCGCAGACACTGCTAATCAGCCCGGGGTGCCTGTGATTGAGCTCCCAGAGATATTTTTACCTTATGCAAATAAGTGATGTCAGGTGCCCTCGCTGTCGCTGTCGGCAGCAGCCCCACCTCCGGCTGATCCCTTTCCCTGCGGAGCTGAGCATCATGGCCTCACCTTCTAGATCTCTCCAAGCTTCTTCGGGAAAATCGTCCATTAAGGGTGGCGGGTGTCCCCCCTTAGACACACACCCAGGAACCTTGGGAACAGTTTCCTGTGATTGGAAAGAGCAGGAGCTGAGGGAAGGTGCCCAGACTGTGCCTATGTCTGGTGGAGCGGAGGGAAAGGTGCCCTGGGCCACATGGCTGGGCTGGGCTGGGCTGGGCTGGGCTGGCAGGGGAGGCCACCCGCCTCCCCCAGCTTGAGCCCCCCATCTTTTCAGGGGAACAGGCCTGATGGGACCCTGGCCCCGTGGTGGCCCATGGAGGTTTCCGTGAAGTAGTTGGACTTGATGGCTTTGAGGTCCCTTCCAGCCTGAGACTGGGGGAGCCTAGGCCTGCTCAGGGTCACCTAGCTGGTCACATGGGCGCCTGGCTCAGACCCCCTAACAGGGTTGGGCCCAGCGGGCCTGGGGTGCACGCCCTGCCTCTGCAGCGTCTGTGACTCCCCCAGGCTCATCATCCCGCTCTGTGCCCGGCATGGCCTTGGCTTGCTCCCAAGAGCCCTCAGACTGCGACACGGGGTGGGGAGGAGCCCAGCAAGGACCGAGCGCCCTGAAGGGCCAACAAGATGCCTTTGTGCCTGTCTGGGCAGCCCCGCCAGGGTGACACACCACGGAGAGCCGTGGGTGACAGAAGCAAAGCAGAGCCCTGCGGACTGACCTTATCGCACAGGTTCTGATAAGGCCGGTGGGAGGAGCTGGCTGGAGGAGCTGGCTGTGGTGACAGCCGCAGCCCTCGCCCCCCCTGCCCCCACGGCTGTGCTTAATGCACAGTATTGACCATTTTCCAGTTAAATATTATTCCTGCTCTTGAAAATGATAATTGCATATCTTTCTCTTCTCTGCTGCTTTTAAACCACTCACTCTCATTCACTCAGCTCTGACGTATCAACAACATATGACCAATAAGCAATTCATTCAGAGGAAGACAGGAAAAAGGCAGTAGGGGCACATGGCTCCCTGAAGCTGTGCTGAGTCAAAAACCATGTCCTGGGCCCAGGCAGGTTAGCTCTTCAGATGGCAGCACCATCTGGAAAATGGTTTCTGATCAATACAGAGAATCTCCCACAGCAGCCCAGAACCCTTCAATCTTAAGGAGCAAGGAGTTGAGCATTAGCAGGTGAATATGCCTATCTTACGGCCAATGGGACAGATCCCTCTGCCCCTCCCCCAACTTGTGTATTCTTTTGGAGACTAAGACCCAGTTCTCCAAGTGTGTCTGGCTGCTCGTTCTACTAGTATATACCTGCAGCCTCTTCCCAAGGCCCACTGAGTGGAAACTTTGATTCTGAAAACCAGACTTGACATAACATAGCTGCAGATGCTGGAGGATTTAGAAAGGCCTGTCATTTGGGCATGAGACCACTGTATGGTGCATGGCCACATGCACATTTCCCATCACAGGGTTGAACCATTTGCATTTCTGTACACACACAAAAAAAGCATACCGCTTGAAATACAAAACTAAAATATCTGGTCAGTTTCAAGGAGATTCAGATCAGCCTTAAGTAGAGAGCATTCTTTCCCAGACTGTAGCTAGGGAAAAGGGTAGATGAAATGTTCCCAGTAGTGTTTGTAAGATTGCCCACCTGAGTAATTTTTAATAGTATGTATATTTAATAGTATGTATGTTCTCCTAAATAACTACCTGTCATAATATATTAATGATTGAATGAGTTTTCTGTTGCTTAGACAGACTATAATGAATGTGTTTTATAGATATCACAGCACCTCAGGAAAACTTATGACATATGACAAGCATTGGAGGTAACAATACTTCCATTTGGCTGCATAAAGAATAAAAAGATAGTTGCTGCCCAACCAGCGTGGCTCAGTGGTTGAACGTCGACCTATGACCCAGAAGGTCATGGTTTGATTCCCGGTCAGGGCACATGCCTGAGTTGCAGGCTTGATTCCCAGGGGAGGGCGTGCTGTGGTTCTCTCTCATCATTGATGTTTCTGTCTCTCTCTTCCTCTCCCTTTCTGTCTGAACTCAATAAAAATACATATTTTTTAAAAAGGCCTCCCCCACCCCATGCCCTGTGCTGGGCTCTGAGCTCCTCCCTGCAGACAGGCCCAACTCGCTCCCCTCCCCCAGCCCAGGGCCCCAGCCTGAGCCTCCCCCTCCCTGCCCTCCTGTCACTCCGCAGACACTAATCATCAGCCCGGGGTGCCTGTGATTGAGCTCCCAGAGATATTTTTACCTTATGCAAATAAGTGATGTCAGGTGCCCTCGCTGCTGTCGGCAGCAGCAGCCCCACCTCCGGCTGATCCCTTTCCCTGCGGAGCTGAGCATCATGGCCTCACCTTCTAGATCTCTCCAAGCTTCTTCGGGAAAATCGTCCATTAAGGGTGGCGGGTGTCCCCCCTTAGACACACACCCAGGAACCTTGGGAACAGTTTCCTGTGATTGGAAAGAGCAGGAGCTGAGGGAAGGTGCCCAGACTGTGCCTATGTCTGGTGGAGCGGAGGGAAAGGTGCCCTGGGCCACATGGCTGGGCTGGGCTGGGCTGGGCTGGGCTGGCAGGGGAGGCCACCCGCCTCCCCCAGCTGCCCCGCCCTCACCTGAGATGTGCAGCCCTCAGGCCCTGCTGGAGCCTGAAACCTTCGGCCCTGTTGGTAGAAGCAAACACCTGCCCCTCCAGGGACAGCCAGACAGCCCCGGCCCCTGTCATTAATGGCACGTTTATTTGTGCTAGGGGGGAGCACGTTCCCCCGCCCAACAGTGCAAGCGCTAGTGTCCCCACTTAGTCCTCACAGAAACCCAAGATGTGAGGCAAGTGCTCGGATAACAGGGCCACACCTCGACGAGGCTTGGCTGGATATGTTCCCAGCCCTGTCTGTCCCCAGAGCCATGGCTGTTTCTCATCTGCCCCCCCAGCTCTGCCTCCTGGTTCTGTGGCTGTTTCCCGGGCCTGAGAAGCCTGGTGGTTCTGACCATGTCTCTGCGCTGCCCTCCTGGGCCCAGCAGCGCTCCCTCCAGCGGCAGTCTGGGTGCTGCTGAGCCAGGGGTGTGGCCGGATACCCGGGGCTGGGCTGAGGGTGGCACTGAGGGAGCAAGTCCCCGAGGAGCTGGCTGTGACACTGGTGGCAGACAGATGGGGGCGTGGCCCTGGCCAGCTGACACTTGGCTGTCAGCCCAGAGCAGCCACCATGTTCGGTCGCCCCCTGCCCCCACGGCTGTGCTTAATGCACAGTATTGATCAATCTGGAAGCTCCTTCCCAGACACACCCTCCCTGCGGGTCTGCCTTGGCATTGTCTCTGCAGCCCTGGGGGGCAGCCCAGCTGACAGGGCCCAGTGCCCAGACCCAGCCGGAGCTGGGGAGCGTGGGGAGGATCAGACGCCCTCCCCCAGGGCTGTGCTGGGCACTGTTCCTGGGAAGGACCGGAGCCCGGTGTCCCCAGCCTCCGGCCAAGCGGAGCTGGTGCTGCTTCGCAAGCAGCCTGGTCCAGTCGTTCTGCTTGTGGGCTCGAGCTCGAGCCAGATCAGCTGTGCGACCCTGGGTGGGCCACGCACCCTCTCTGAACCTCACTCACCGTTTGTATAACGGGAATGGGGTTCTTGTGAGCATTGACCGGATGGCCAGCCCACAGCAGTCTCGGCCCTGGCCGAGTGTTGTCAAAGAACCCCCTCCAGTCAGGTGAGGCTGAAGCACACGGGGTGGGAGCTGTGCAGACATCTGGGAGACCGCAGCACGTGCAAAGGGCCTGAGGCAGGAGGGTGCCTGGCTGGGTGGATGGTAGGAGTGAGGGCTGATTGCTGAGGTGGGGTCAGGTAGTGAGGGCCTGGTAGCTTCTGTAAAAATTGGCTTTTCCTCTAAGATGAGAAATCTTTGGAGACCAGACCTGACTTGTAAAGGGCTTTTGATTGGGCGCTCGTGTGAAAATAGACCCAAGGGCCCTGGCCAGTGTGGCTCGGTCGGTTGAGTGTCATCCCATGCCCAAGAGATTGCCAGTTTGATTCCCAGGCAGAGCACATGTCCAGGTTTCAGGTTCGGTCCTGCCCCAGTCAGTGTTTCTCTCTCTATCTCTCTCCCTCTACCTTCTTGTCTCTCTCAAATTCAATAAAAACATTTTTTTTAAGAGAGGATAAAAACCAGCGCAGGAGGTGAAAGCAGGGAGGTGGTGGCGGCTCTGGGCGGTGGTGGTGGGCGGATCTGATGCAGGCTGTATGTCTCCAGAGCAGGCCATGCTGACCACCGTGGTCTCTCCTTTGCAGAACTGGCTGCGACTCTACGGCTACCTGCCTCAGCCCAGCCGCCACATGTCCACCATGCGCTCGGCCCAGATCCTGGCCTCAGCCCTCTCCGAAATGCAGCGCTTCTACGGGATCCCGGTCACCGGCGTGCTTGACGAGGAGACCAAGACGTGAGTCCCTCTGTCGGGCCCTTCCCAGAC